GCTCAAGATTACACATATATTTAGTAGCTAGGTATTGTATCGGGTTAGAAAGAAATGTCCTGCAACACTTTTTCAATTTTTTGATTTAATTTTATCTTTTTTGTTTACAACTCCTGACCGGTCATATATCTACCATGAGTGTCCACCACTTGTCTTCAACGCTCAGAAAATTTCTTGATGCTCCTTTGCCAAAACCCAGCGGAGTGCGGCTCCTTGCAAACAGAGCACCACAACATGAGAAATATGTGTCTACGAGGGTACGCATACGGCGACTCGTCACAAAAATATTATACATAGCATACAATCGTACTATGTTCAAGTTCACTTGAGCCCAAGCTAAATGGCGGTTTGTTGCAAAAGTCGGGAGCTACGTATAGTAATCGTAAAAAACTAAAGTAGCCAATCTCAATTCATGCTCTAATCGTTGTAGTACGGCAACAATAACAAATTCGCTCGATGGGTTCAGTTGAACTTGACACAAGTCTTTCACGAACGAAGATGTGTTCAGCCTTTCCTCGATCCCTACTCACTACAGAACCATAATTCATACCCAGCTGCAGTCCAACGCATTAAAATTTGATATTTAGGGAACTTTCCCCTTTCTTGTGCTCACATATTTCTCAGCTCTTTGTTTAAACAAAAGCTTCCTGACATGCAACATCTCAGCGCTTCAATAGAGTGCATCCAAAATGCTGAAGTCTCACATTCTGAAAGAGGTTTTGCTCTTTTTCTGGCTCTGGCAATTCCAAAAAAGCTCAGAAAAATTGGCCTTGCAGTTCTCCAATTTCTCCATTCCCTCGAATCGCTTATCATTAATTTTGTGTTCCACACCTATTATGACCACATGGAATGCGTATTCAAAAATCGCTTTACATTCTGGTCGACCTTCCTGGTCTCCGATGTTCTTCATAGGAGCGCCTGCATACCGAAGGAAGATTTCAACATACTCGGAATTTAACAGCGAATGCACAGACATGTGTGAAGTTTGTGGGTTTGTAGCATTTCTACTCAATCTATGGTTTTAATCAAAAACAACGCATAAAAAGGTAATTAGTGGTGCGTTCTCCGCTGTATTTACAACTTTCAATATTCCCTGCATTGCGCGAAAACTGCTCCGCGTTCGACTGAATGCACCCCGTTCGTTGTAAGGTTTTCTTTGTTTTAATCGCTCAATCATCGTATTTCTTTGTTTGTATTGGTGCATATGCGATTGCAGCCGCACTTCTTGCTGGCACGAGCCAGCAATAATTTGATGGCGGAGCAACCTAGTTCGTACAGCTCGTCCGAGCCCACTCCTCTTCATTTCGAGGGTGAGGAGGAGGAGTTCTTGACTAAAGCTCAATCAGCGGTTTTCCTTGTTTCTTTTTTTTATTTGCAGTCATCTCTTCGTTGAAAATTTCATTATTATCTGGTTTTACCTGCGAATTCAGTTCGAAATTGTTGCTTTGATCATTTGTTTTGTTGATGAGCTTATGCGTGGAACTAGAACAGCTGATAATTTCCGCTCCACCTAGAAACATAGTCTGAATGCTGAGTGGGATTAAAATCTTGAATTAGAACTTTAGTAGCAAATCCATACAATTCCTGCAACAGAATGTTCTTGGCGCATGGGCATATTCTTAGAGACGAGAGAGTTACTCCCCTCCTGCATCCATAGATATACAATCGCCAGTGTCGGCGACTGCTGAATGCGTTTTCTTGAAAGAAGAAGTTATACAAAAACAAAAATTGTATTCAAAAAAACCGGCAGTGACAAGCTAATTTTATTGTAGCTACGTTTTTATTGTTGAGATGTTTTGTTTATAATAATGCAGTGCTCTATAAGTCATATCGTCACTCACAGCTCTTTCAAATATCCTCAGGTCTTATAATGAATGGCGACATAATAAAGCCTATCTACCAAGTGTTCTACATAGTTATTCCGACGATTTCTATAGTTGCGAACTCACTCATAATTTATGTCACTATACGGTCGAAGTAAGAGCAATTTTTATGAAGTAACATTCATTCCAGTGTGGTCAGATATATAGATACCGAAGATGTGATTCTCGCAATCGCTGGCAGTTTATCGTAATCTGCTGTTTTGAGCCATGAACAATAAAAATTTCGAGGGTCTATCAACAATAAGAGTTTTGAGGGTCTGTATGAAATTTTCTATAATGTTCGAATTTCAGCAAGCTCAGGAGCACCTGCAATATAATGATTGGTTTCATTTCTTTCGGTGATCTTTTGCATATGTTCGGACATTATACAATGGTGATATCGCACAATTTGTAAGTTCTGAAATACCTTTCGAAATTTACCCATAGTTTCTCAATGCACTCAGGGTGAGCAAACATCGGAGCTTTCTGTACACGGTCAGAGAAAAGCCGTTGAGGCTGTTGTATATACTCACGCAATTTTTGCACTTTACCCGTAGAGGATGCCAGACAGGCTTCGCTCGAGAGTAATGCTAGGATGGATGTGGAGGGGAAGTGGAAGGAGGAAGGACTCATCGGAGATGCAGTCGCGTTCTATTGCTGGTGGCGTCACCTGTGACATCACAGCTGAGACGAGAGCTTCGAGAGGAGTGGGTTGGAGAGCCGTGAGCGCGTTGGGTTAGGTTCTTACGGATACGGGCCCACCCTTTGCAGCAATTTACGCGTCATTCCGCAGCCTCCGTTTCTAGCAGCTCTATTCGAAGTTCCTCGGCCTCCAGTACATCATAGTCTTCCTTTGATTACGATAAGCCTTACCGTTTGTTTTTCAATTTTCGCCCTACTCATAGCAAGCTACTTCATGGTAGAAGTTGTGTATTATGAATACTCGCTACGTTATGCATGACAGTGCTGTTTCTTGCTATTGTCCTCACCGTCGCGAAAACACAGATCTACACGCCGCCGGTGAGATATTCGCAAGACGAGGATGGGCATTCTGGAAGGCGAATCAAGTTTGACCGTGAACTCCCACTTTTGCGAGGTCGTTCTGTGTACCAGATTTTCTAACAACATGTGGCTCATAATGAAGCGCATACATACCATCAAGTGTTCAAAGCTTATTTCTCTATTAGGTTCTGTCGTTTCAGAATCCCAGGTCACCTACTGCGGCAGGACATATGCGTATATCTCCAGATATTTCCTTTGTGCGGCTATTTTGCCTCGTCCCTGTTGCTACTCAGTGTGGCTGTTGATAGGGTGATGTCACTACAAAAATTTTAGTGAGTTTTATGGTGATTTTGAAACACTTCGATACAGAAAATTATTTCCAAGCCATATCATTTTTCATAAGTCCACCACATTTCGAATTTAACACATTGCCGACAATGTGACTTTTGGCACTTTTGGCCGCGTGGGACCAGGGCGATTTTTAGAGCGCGGCGGCCTCATATTCTTCCAATCAGATTGTGGGAACTAAATACATAAGCCATGACTGATACGAAACTAGACTAGAAGGTTCCAGTGAACAGAAGCTAACCAAGGGTATAGTAGCGAAATTTCCATCGAGAGAGTCAAATTACAATAAAAAAAGGAGAAACTTCTCAGACCTAGCCACAGTAGAACTCAGAGCAATTTTGGATTGTTTTAATAAAAGCACATGTAATACCTCCCTCTAGGTCGGGATTTACGTTTATCATTCTTACTTCTATAAGACGCTTCGTCTGTGTGCGTGTGTCGTCGTGTGGCGTGTGTCGTGTGTCGTGTGTCGTTCTGTATGTCTGTCACGAAATTCCCTAGCTCCTCGGGATCCACCTGGAGGGACCGGGTCAAGTGTGGGATGGGTGGGCAGGGTCTCACGTAATACAAAACACACATCAGCTAAGCGGAGCCCCGCCCACAGAGGGCGTGGCGTGCGTCGAAATGAATTGTACCGAAGACCAAGATTTCGATTTCAGTGACAAAACGACCTCGAAACTGGGCCAAAAAGTGGGTAAAGGTGTGCATTGGTAAGTCACATCGAATTAGGGAGACCCACCCCGGTGGGCGGGGCGTTCTCAAAAAAGCAGTGCTTTATGAAAAATTTCATAACTCGGTTGGGAGAAAGCCTACAGAGCAGAAAACAATTTGGTGTAAGGGAGCAATGTCTAAGGTGTTTCCTGCATACATGACGTGGGCGGAGGCCCGCCCAGAATGGGCGGGGCGCGCTCTGAAGTGTACAGCATTTTCTACAAGCCCTCATAATTCGGGTCGGGGAAGTCTTAAAGAGCCGGAAAAAGGTGGATAGAGGTGTATGGAGGAGTGGAGGCCAGCTGTCAATGGTGGGCGGGGCTTGACCAAAGTGGGCGGAGTTTGCGACGAAAATTCATAACTCGGCTCCAAGAAGTCCCGGAGGCTGGGGAAAAGGTGGATAGAGGTGGGTGGAGGAGTGGAGGCCAGCTGTCAATGGTGGGCGGGGCTTGACCAAAGTGGGCGGAGTTTGCGACGAAAATTATAAAACTCGGCTCCAAGAAGTCCCGGAGGCCGGGAAAAAGGTGGATAGAGGTGGGTGGAGGAGTGGAGGTAACTGTCATCGGTGGGCGGGGCTTGACCAAAGTGGGCGGAGTTTGCGACGAAAATTATAAACTCGGCTCCAATGAAAGCTCCGGAGGCTGGGGAAAAGGTGGATAGAGGTGGGTGGAGGAGTGGAGGTTAACTGTCATCGGTGGGCGGGGCTTGGCCAAAGTGGGCGGAGTCTGCGACGAAAATATAAAACTCGGCTCCAACAAGTCCCGGAGGCCGGGAGAAAGGGAGTAGAGGCCGGCAAAGGAAAAGGAGGTCAACTGCTATTAGTGGGCGGAGCATGCACATAATTGGGCGGAGTTTGCCAAAAGTGTCGTAATTTGGTTCCAAGAGGTCCCAGAGACCGGTGAAAAAAGGGGTAGAGGTCGGCGAAAAGAAGGGGGCCAAATGCTATTGGTGGGCGGGGCACGCACCGAAGTAGGCGGAGTTTGCCACGAGATTTATTGTCCGGAAGCAGTCCGGAGACCGAGAAAAAGAGGATAATGGTTGACGAAGAAAAAAGGTTGAAAGCCGTCGATGATGGAGCGGATAGAATTTAGCTGAGGATTCAGATATTCGTAGTGTATCAAGCCAAATTATGAAAATTTTCGTCGCACCATCAAAGTTCGCAGCAGATCTGTGTTGCGCGCGCAATGCGTGCGGCGCCAACTGGTTATGTTTAAATTCCAGTTTTGAAAAAAGAAGAAGAAAAGGAAAAATTAACTGAACTGAAGATTTTATAATGCTTAGAAACCCTCCACTTAGTTGGAGTGATATTCAATTCTGCAACGCATTTTAGCCTAGAGTTAAAGCCAGCATCAGAATTCTAACAGTGATTGCCAAAAATAGCGTCGGAATTTGGGAGACATTAGGTTATGTTTTTTTGTACAATCTGGCAACAGACTTCTGGGACGGTAGTAAACTAGCCAAACTTGCACGTTAACGGGCAGTTTTAATGAGCACGTAACGTGGAGGTGCAAGTTTTTCCGATGATGGTGGAAATCGCTTCTATGGCACCTAGGAGACCTATTTATGAAACTCTGAAGAAAGCTTCCCAGGTGAGCTGCAGCTCCCTGGCAGGGTGGTTCCTTGTTACACCAGCCGTAAAAAATCTTTCGGAGGACTTTTTGGAGTTGGCCAACTTCAAACTGCCAGGTGCGTGGGTCAAAGCACGGTGTTGGAAAGGGAAAGGGAGGCACCTTGCATTGATTCGTCAGTGGTGTAGCGCCTGCGGTCCACGTTGGTGTTGGATCAGTCGCGGGATCAATACTACTAGATGTCTAAAGGTTTGCAACCTTCGTAGGCTATTCCCTTTTCTCTACAACCCTTTCACCGTCGATAAGAAGGGCTCCTTAGTGCAGTGGTAACGATGCCGCTCATGGGACGAAAGTTCGAACCCGTGTGTGACGCAAGGTTTGCAGGCAACGTGGGGCTCACCACTTCCACTATGGCAAATTATCAATGGCTCAATAAGGCCGCTGGATCTACACCGCTTGAAGTTCAAGATATGTTTCCACTTTTCGCTCTTGTACACCGTATGGTACAGTGCCAGGCCTCTACGCCGTCACCGGTAATGTAGGCAGATCGATACCGCTCGGTGCGAGTTTTTTGCAAACAGCCTGAGCCATCCTAATGTGATCAGCTTCTCCTCAGAAGGGAGTGCTACTGCTCCGTGGTGCAGTGGCAACGATAGCGGTTCAGTTGCGCATTGTCTGGGTTCGGTCTCGTGGAGGGACGAAGTTTTGCTTACGATGTCGCGAAGTTGCGCGTTTCAGATCTGGTTACCTTCCAACTTCAAAATCGTTCTTTCGTCCATAGGGATATGACTGTTATTCTTAACCTCCAGTTTGGGGGGATTACTACTGTCCCTAAAATTTCATCGAATCTTGAATGTCCCGATTCATAATTCGCACCCTTCACGTTACTTAGAGTATGATGTGAGAGCAGACTTGTGCAGCAGCGACATTTTAACCTTTCCTGGGCCTTGAATGAATTGTTTTTTTTTACAAAAAAAAGGTTTTACAACCATATTTCAGTTCTCATCTGACTCATAAATATAGAGCGGCTTACGTGGCTGTTCAATCTTGCGGCAGTACTTTGTTACACATTATTTTTTGGGATTGCAATGTTGGTTAGTCCCTCTGCAAACGTGTGAGTACATTGACAAATATGGGTCCTATATTTATTCAGATATTTTACCATTACTTATTCTTACGGGAAATAATTCTCAATTACGGTCATAGTTTTTTACTTCACGTGAAATATGCGGAAGAAATAAACAAGAAATGTAACTAACTAGGGGTTACGGGTGGAAGTGGGCAATGGCAAATAGCGCTGCTTATCACGTGCGGGGTCAAATCTTGGGTCATGCATCGTTCGGAAAAACCGAGCTTCCCATCTTTCTCTCGAGTCTGAAGGTATAGTATAAGTACAAAACACTGGCTTGTACAGCAACTGTCCCTTGTAAGTCCCTGTTATCCAATCGCGTTGAAATTGCCATTACGATTCTGATGAAAGTAGAATTTTCTGGCGTATTCTGAAACGGTGTCGATCAGCGCCGAATGCTTTATCTGTTTTGATCCTTTATTGGGCTGAACTTTTACTAACATATGTGTAATATGTTCTACGCGCACCTCCGCATTTCACTTACCTACCTTGAGCATACGTTGGTACGTTTTCTCCTTTGGCAGCCTCTATACTCATATTAGGTAGCCGGGCTGCTTCGGAACCTTATTATACAGTTTACAAAAATGAGCTCTCAGCAACGTCAACGCCACGCT